GGTGTTTTTTTTTTTTTTTTTTAAATAAAAAGAGCCTGTCCGATTAGGTAGCTTAGAATGTTTCTCGCGGTCGTTTTTGGAGGTTTCGTTCAGGACTGTCAGTTTCCAGGAGCGTTTCTGCGCTGGCAGTATCAAGCTGAAATAGCTTAAGCATTTGATGCAAGTTCTGAAATCCATATCGGCCCCTCTTCCTCCAGCGTGAACTGCAAGGAGCTGGATAGCAGCCGCGTTTAGGTCAACGCTCTGCTTCGGCAACGCTGAGAAGTCTGTTAGCGCGGCCCTAGCCAGGCTGCTCCCGGGGCTGAAGAATGGGATGACTCAGGAAATTGTTCTAGCGATGGCATGAGAAATGTCTTGTATTTTATCTGTCTCCGGTTTGCTGGTGCCTTCCTCTTCATTTGATTTTAAAAAGTGTTTAGCTTTGTATGTTTGGAATTGTGAAATAATTTGCTATGTAATGGTTCTGTTGAGATCCATTTTTGTTTTCCTTTTTTGCTGTAGTTACTCTTCCTTTGATTCCTTTGGCAATATTTTGAAATTAGAATTAATGTTTTGGGATATTTTCCTCTGTTGGAGGAAGAAGTTTTCCTGGCTGGTGAAAGATTGCAATGAAATTCAGTGGTAATTTTGTGAGGGGTGGTTCTTTATTTGGTCTTGGGGTTTGATTCATTAGTGCTTTTATTGTGGAGAAGGTACTTTTTCTGTGTGCTCCCATCAGAAACGTAAAGCACTTTGAGGTATGTTGAATAGGACAGGGAAATGAGTGTCTCTACAGCTGTTGAGGTTGGCCTTTCTACATACATAGCACATTAAATAGAGTATGTGTATTTCAAGTCTTTTTCAACTGGTGAAGGTGACTGTTAAAACTGGTAGAATAATGCAATACATTGAACAATGTTAAGTAGTTTCAGTGGATAGTGGTACTTGTATAATGATTTGCCTCATGGCATTCTAGGTTTCTTTAGTCCTAGTAATATTTTCTTATGTTTAAATTACAGGGCTTGAATGTGTGAAAATTAATGTATGCTCTGTATCTTAATTTCAGTAATAATTTTTAAACTTATGTTAATTATAGTTTAAACTTTTGCTTTTCCCAGGGGTGACTAGAGTCTATTGTTTTGTTTTGAACTTCCATCAAACATATGCTTTTGTTTTAAGTGTACACTGCCTATCAGATGATGTGGTAAGAGTTGTTTGCCTGTGTGAGTTTGTATGTGATCCTGCATGACTAAAGTAGACTTTTTCCTTATTAGTGTGAGCTGGCTTTGGAAAAGCTCCAATATAGATTTCAGTTCTCGTATCAGTTGGACCTCATGCCCTGAAGCTGTTAAGATTTTAAAGCTGACCATTCTCTGTTTTATCTTTTTTCCCCAACTTCTGGGGTAAATTGATTTATTTACCAGGTATTTTTTAAATGCTGTGTAGCGCCACAGAGTCATTTACTGGTGTTTCTTGTTTGTTCCCCTTGACATTCAGGTTGAATAAAGGAAAGACCTTTCTTGGGCCAAAGAAAGGTTACAGATCTGAGCCTTTCCATATAAAGAGAGAATGTCTCATGTGTGTGCATATTCATAGAGATCTGAGGAAAGGGGTTTACATTTTAGCAAAGAAAAGAAACTAAGTATTTTAACTCACAAAACAGTAGAACTTCATTTAACCTGAACAAAATGATCCTAAAGTAATAGCTTCTATGTAATCAAACTCGAGAGTCACCAGGATTTGGTTTAAGCTTTCCAGATGTGGACTGGTAACAATTTTGGAAACTAGTGAGAGTTGCTATTTATTTAAATGTTATTGTCTCTGACATGTTGTGTCAATTCAATGAAATTAGCTAACCATATATGTGCACATGGCTTATGGCTGGTCTTAATTTAACTTGCATTTTTATTTGTTTTTTTTTTTTTTTAAATTAGCTTTAGTTAACACAGGAAGAGCAAAAAGGTGTTCTGATAGGATTTTCGAAACTGCTTTGATTCAGGCAATTGTACTACATATCTGATTTAACTGTCTGAATTGAAGTCTGTTGTTGTGTTCTGTTTTCAAATATTTGTACACTTCATAATTACATCCATGGTAAAGATTTTAAAACAATTTAAGTATTAATTTGTTTTCATGCATTATTACACTTCTAGAACATGTATCTGGAATGGATACTTTCCATGACTGAAGTCTTTTGGCATGTGAATTGAACATGTAGCATAACTGGCAAAAAAAAAAAAAAAAAAAGAAACTCTCTCTTTTGTGGGAGAAGAGGAGTAGGTTTCTCAGATATGAGGGGGAAGACTACCATATGAGGGGGAAAATTACTCTATAGAGACTTTTTTTTTTTTAAATACAAGGAGAACTCTAAAATGAATGTAGTTTAAGACTCAGTATATATTTTATTTTCAAAGAGTAACATATCTATATCAGGAATCATTACCTGGAAAATAATTATGAATGTTGGGGAAATAATATTTTAGGGATGTAGTTAAGAGATTATACTCAGGCTGAGAACATATGCTATTCACGTGTGTCTTCTAGAAATGTTTTTGCATGCAAATTATGTACCCGTTGGCAGCTGACTCCTAACCAGATTGTCACTGTGTGATGGTCCCTGGGAAGCTGAGTAGGGAGTGGGAGGTACCAACTGAACTCTGAAGGTTTCATTTCTCAGGGTTTATGTTTGCTTAGCTTTGCTTTTCTTTTTTTAAAAAGCTAACAAAGGAAAATTGAAATCTGCAATTGCAAAAGGCCTTTTTGAAAATGTACATTTAGTTACTTAGTTACTGTATTCCTGTTACATTTTTTTGGAAAAACTTACAGTACTTTATTGATGTTACTTAAATAAATATACTACAAAAAGGTTTACAGTCACACTAATCATAACTTTGATACTTTTTGTCCTACATAAAGTCAAGATTGCTGTGACTGTAAACCTTCTTGCATTTTCACAACTAGCTTTAGGTCCACAGAGTGGAATATTACATTACTACTAACATTACTGAGTTTAATATGTACATACTGTATCCCTTGACTATTGCATTGTAATATTTTAACCAAAGAAAGGGATATCTTTTTTTTGAGACAGATATTATAAAATCATTAGCCAAAACATTAGGCATTTTTTCCTTTTTGTCAACTGCTGGCCTATTTAAATCCTTTTCTCTGGAGAAGTAGCCTCCTATAAGATATTTTTGTAGTTTCTCTGCCATTTGTATTACTGAACAGCTTGAATTTGTTATTTGCTGTGTTTTTGAAGATAACTGTTACATTGTTTTCATACTATGGTGTCTGTAGCCTAGCCCAAAGCAAGAGGAATCTCCTCGCTGCTCTGAGTTAGAGGTGGATTCTTTTTGTTCCCGAGTTCTTAGGGATGGCTTTTGTCATCCTTAACAGGAGTATCTTCTCTGTTTTGTAGTGAAAAGGTGCTGTCTTGAAGAACTGTCCTGTACTGAAAACTTTAGGCCTGATTTAAAGTTCTGTGAAATCACTGCAGAGATTTACACTTGAGAACTGCAGCAGGCCTTCAAAATATTTTTTTCTTGGTTTTCATTCTGTTCTCAGAGTTATTTTACCTCCCTGTCCTAGCACATCTAGGCTTCTGACCCTATTCCAGTAGGGAACAAATAGTCCTAACCTACTAGCTTTGGGATTTTCAGAAGTGGATTGCCTGTAGCAGAATTTCTAGTGGGAAAGTAGCATGGTGAAATTTGCCTTCACAAACCAGTGTAAAGATAGGTGATGTTTGATCTGATCATGACTGCTGTGTTGTGTGCTTGTGTCCCTGGGATTCTTCCAGTATAGGCTGAGTATATTCTGATGGCATCATGGTATTGCATCACACATCGGCATAAATAGAAGGGTATTTTGTTAATCTTGATTGAAGAAATTGACTTGGCCATTAGATGAGATAATGTAGCAACAGTTAAAACAAGATTCGGGTCGCTGCTCTGTAAGAGCAATGGTCTTAGCTGGCTTAATTTTGATGGCGAGGACTTTAAAAACTGATGTGAAAGTTTGGAGATACGTTACTTGAAAGATATGCAAAATAAAAAGGGTAGTGCAAGTGTGGTGTTTTGAAATGCTTAGGTGAACTAAGCATGGATAATATTTGATGGTGAAGTATAATCTGTTGGTTTCTGGTCTCGCACTGGTTTTGTTTATTGGTTTTGCTCTTTAGAGCTGGGTTATATTTGATTTCTAGCTCTCCCTTTTACCTTTGGCCTTTGTACCAGCTTTCTGTTCTTCTGCATGAAAGTCTGAGATTTGTGTTTCTTTTTTTTTTCTTAGTCGTTATAGTTTTAAATGATCAACTTCTGGCAGGATTCAAAAATATTTTG